AAACTGGCGTGTGTCTTCATTCACATCTCCCAAGGATCAAAATCAGATTTTTGTAGAGCATGATGTAAAAAACAAACAAACTGGAAGTCCTTCGTTGTAGAATTTTAAGAATGAAGAGTCTATTTAAACTTAACGGGAATATAAAGATGAGTTCGGAAAGAACATGCTGAAGAGGTAGGTAGTTGGGACTTTTGGAGTAAGCCAAAGCTTAAAAAAACTTAAAACATGGTAATGAAGAAACACATCAATGGCGATGATGACGCCATCTTTACCTCCTAACGAGGACAGGATACAAAAAAATAAACACGCAACAGCTCGTCGTGGAGTAGGATACTAACAAATTCGAATGCTAATGAGCGTCTTTCGCTCCTCATATTTATACGAGTGCTTGAAAGTCAAAGTACAAAGTTAGTTGTTACTGAAATTAAAGTTAAAGTGTTTTTCTCTCTAAAAACTCAGCTACGGTTAAGAAACTCGTGCACTCACACGTTCATGTGGTGAGATCACAGATACTGTGCCAGGTGCTCTTCCAAGAAAAAAGGGTGAGAATGGAATTTCCGGAGAGAGTGTCCCAATTGCACTAAGGCTTTAGGGGCGATGTAGGAATTGGATCAGGATTTTTGTTTAAAAATTAGCGTGTGACACGATGTCACAGAAGATAAAGGGTGCGTTCCAATACAGCTACAGTCCCAGCGTAATAGCAAATGATACTGCTAGCTTATATTGTGTTAGATTTAATCTGAGTTTGTATAAAGGGATTTCAAATGTAAGTCCTACTGAATGAGGCGTTAACGGTGTTGTTATAGCTAGGTGTACAATGTCTTGAGTATAGGTTATTTGAATTGCTTCTTTTAAATTAAATCATTTCTGTCAACCATAACGTAGTAGTGATAAAATTGAGATCTGTTCTGATCTGAGACACTTCAACACTCATGCGAATCTTCTTCGATGTCTTCGATTGTGCAGATGACACAATGTAAAATTTCAGTGGGCAGGGATAGCCTGGTTGGTAGGACGTTGGACTCGTGTTCCTGAGAACGTGAGTTCGAATTACGTCGGCCGAAGAATCCCCGCGTATTAAATGGTGACTGGTGCTCGTTAAAATCTGCCGGAGTTAAGAAGTTCTCCAAGTTCCCATAAAAAGTCAATACCTCTGGTACTGAATTGGAGATTGATCGTTCTCTAGTAATGGTCCAAATATACGATCTGTGGATGTATGAATGGGTCCACCCTATAAACGGATTGTGACGTGTGTGTGGCTGAAGTCGTATTCTTGATCATAGATGGAGCCACTGAAAAACAAGAAACGCATCTTCTGCCTTAAAAAAAAATTCGCTTTATTTCAAGCAGACTCGCTGGTATTGGCAAGTGGCATAAGTAATAACTATGACAATAAAAGTTCAGTTCACGTGAATTTCATTTTTAATAAAATTCCATGGAAAAGACCGTTGATTGACCTGTGTTGTTACAACGCAAAACTTTCAATATCTTGTGCTTTTTAATCAATATTTAAATTCCTATCATAAAATTAAACTAAAACAATTCTGAACACCTCAATATAGTAAATATTCTAATAATATTGTATTATGACACATTATTATTTCAGCAATAGGGAGATTTTACATTCTATCGGTGAACTTCTTATTTAAGTTTTAGTGCTGATTAAAATCAGATAATTTCCATTTACACTCATGGACAAAAAAATTAGCGCACCAAGAAGGAGTCATCAAAATAAAACAAAATTTTACATAGGTAATGACTACTTTGTAAGTAAATGATTAGAAAATCAAAGAAAAAGGATAATTAATTTCAGAGAAAAAGGCAAAAGAACGGAGGAGTTAATACCCCGTTGGACCCCCTCTAGCGCGAATGCACGATGCGATGCGATCGGGCATGGAGGCATACAAGTTCTGTATGATGTCTTGAGACATTTCGTTCCATATTTGCTGTAACCTTGCCTCTAGTTCGTTCAAACTCGTGGGATGCCCAACTCGCCGTCCCAAATGATCCCAGATATGCTCGATTGGAGACAAATCTGGGGATCAAGGAAGGGTAGTAACAGTATGGAGACAGTCTTGTGACTCCCTTGCCGTATGAGGCCGAGCATTGCTTGATGAAAAATGGCTCTTGGGAGCTGTTGCATGAGTGGCAATATATGTGGTTGCAGGATTTCATGGACATACCGCTGGGCTGTCATGGTACCACGGAACAATAATAGGGGTGACCGTGTATTGTAGGCAATGGCACCCCATACCATCACACCAGCTGTGGGGGCGATGTGTCGCTGTACAGCAAAGGCAGGATTGAGGCGTTCACCACGGGGTCTCCACACACGAACACGATTGTCATCACTGCTGAGATTGAATCTGGATTCGTCACCAAAGACGACCTGGTTCCATTCGGCTGCAGTCCAGTTTCCTCGTACACGGCAAAACTCCAAACGGAGGCGTCGATGGGTGGGCGTCATGGGCGGCACACGTAATGAACGCCGCAATGCCAACTGTCCTTCAGTCAGGCTCTTTTGTATGGTTCGAGAAGACACAGGGGCCCCTAGTAAGGGTGCTACCTGTGCCTGGATGGCGGCAGTTGAAGCACTTGGCTGTACGTGTGCATTTCTTACGGTGTGGTTGTTTTTTCGACGACTGGTCTGTCGAGGCCGTCCTGAGCCTGGTCTTCGTGTACGTGACATCTCTCGGGTCCACTGGTTCCAACACCTCCTCACAACACAATCAGAGCTGCCTAATTGACGAGCTACTCGCCTAGTTGACCACCCAGCTTCCATCATCCTGACGATTCTCCCCCTCTTAAACTGCGACAACTGCTCATATTGTCTTCGAACACGGCATAATGGCTAATCTCTACCTTAGCTCTTCCTTTGTAATGATTCAGCACGCTCAAATAAGCTTTGGTTACCTGTTTTATACTCCACAGAGTACGACGTTCAATGCCCTCTACCGGCTATACGTATTGCGCAATCAAGCTGCTTTTCTAATCATTTGCATATCTCCCTGACATGTACCTTCATTGCAAGTTTCATTACGATCCCGCAATCATTTCTTGATGCGCTAATTTTTTTTGTCCATGAGTGTACTTTCAATAGTATTCTATCACTTTTTTGTTTCAAGGTTTCTATTTCATTATTATTATTATTTTTTAATGAAAGCTATTATTCTCATGACATGGAAAGCAAGTTATTATTTTTTAAGACACTGATTATTTTATAAATTATAACTGTAAATAAAAAACTGACATCAGATTTAGTTAAAACTACAATTTGTTTTCACCAGATCTGGTAATTCAAATATATTTTATTGTATACTTTTTGAGTTTTACAAGGGTAGGAATGAAACAGTTGCTACGAAAAACCTTTGCAACCGTTATCCAAGTACATTAGGCGTTCCTTACTGCCAAAGATGGCTTTATAAGTTCAAATCCGGTATTTTTGATATTCCCGACTTATACCGATCAGAAAGATCAACCCCAGAGAAAAAAAATAATGACTCGGGGTTGGAAGGTATTGCCTCACACACCATACTCATCTGATATTGCGCTATCGAATTTTCATTTATTCTCATCGCTACAGCATTTTCTAAATGGTCTAAATTGCTTTCTTCAGACATTTTGCTTAAAACCCAATTTATTTTTATCTGTCTGCCATTGAAATTGCAAAATGTATTTGTAAAGTGGTAGACTTTTAAAAAGAAACCAGAATTTCAGAATTTTTGGTAGTTTTGCCAACATTTTAAACAGCCTCATCACGAAAAAGCTGCAACAAAATGGCCTTGCATATGAAGTTTTAAATCATTTTTGTGTAGTGGTGAGGAAAATAAGTTTAGATGAATAAAAAATAATACATTTAAGCATAAACATAGCTACCACTAGAATAAGTTTTTACAAAAAGCGTAGAAAATTGTCAGCCCTGTAGATAGTAAAAAGTTTTCGATTTCAATAGAAGCTTATTAAATATCTATAAATTTGAATTTAATTTAAAAAAAAAGAATGAAAAAAAAACCTTACTTTAAAGTAACCGTATTATTAGCTTTATTTCTTAAAATTGGTTTTGCGTCAATTTGTGGCGTACAATTCGTCATAGCGACAGTTCGACGCGTACGATTTGACATAGGATAATACGCCGACAGTACAACTCGCAGCGAATCGCGATGGCTCAATGGTTAAGGTACTGAATTGTCATTGGGAAGAACTGGGGTTCGATCCCCAAGTGGCAGTTTGAAGCCCACCCAGTTTTAAATCGATGTGTACCAGCTCGTCAAGGACGTAAAGGCGGCCTGTGCACAGTGCGGACCACATTGCTATATTTATGTCGTTGGTCACGAAATTATCGAGTCTTAACCTCCATGAGCACCCCTAACATTCTATTGGCTGTTGTTGGAATGATTTACTATTCACATCTCGTCGCAACGACGAATTGTGCCACCAGTAACTACGAACTATCACCTCGACGAATTGGAGCCACAGAGCCATCTATAAAATGACTACTTAGTTTAACACGATGCAAATTTTCTATGCATTTGTAGTTTTATTGTTATTTTTTTAAAAAAAATATTAAATTTAATATTGAAAAACATATACAGTGGTTAAAATCTACTTTTCTGCGTGTAAGCAATTTTTATAAACGTATATTCAATTTAATGTTTTTAATTAATTTAAAAAAAAGAAAAACAATATTTGTTTGAAATGATTTAAATTAAATGTGTAGAAATCTTAACCAAAGGGATCTCCAAAACCATTTTAAATAAGAATAAAAATGCAAAATTTTTTTTAATTAAAATTAAAATTTTTCATTAGCTTCAGTAACGAAGAAATATCTCTTAAATATTTTTATGCTGTTCTTTTATCGTATATAATATTTCAAATATTTTATCTACTACCAAAAAGGATTTTATAAGTAACATTAACTCTTTCCCTCAAGTAGAAAAAAAAATCAGAACAGGGGTTTCCAACTTACAAGAGGCCGGGGGCCACAATTAAAAACACAAATCATGGATAAAGGAGGAGGGTTGGGCGTAGGGCTAGTCCCTCTACCCCGTAAAACATCTCTGACTACAGAAACCAAAAGCATATACGGCCAAATTCTCTTGGCGGAAGCAATGACTTGTGAAATTCCAAATGACAGTTATCTAACCTGGAATGAGGAAATCACGCCTATGAAGTGTCGAAGGGAAAGCCATTTGGAGCCTTCGATGCGGAAGAAGTCATTGATGAAACCTAAACACAAGTTACGAATTGGTGCTTGGAATGTAAGAACTATGTACCAATGTGGAAAAAGTAGACAGGTATCAATGGAAATGGATAGATACCAATTGGATATCTTGGGAATATCAGAACTTAGATGGACAGGTTTTGGCAAGATTAAAACTGGAAGTGAACAAATCATTTTGTACTCAGGAGCTGAAGAAAAGCACGAAAGAGGCGTGGCGCTAATCATTAATAAAGAAACAGCGAAGAGTCTTTTGGAATGGGAACCAATCAGTGAAAGAATTTTAAGAGCACGATTTTATTCAAAATATATTAAACTATCAATTATTCAAGTGTATGNTTACAAGGCTGCGGAGTTGAACATTAGTAGTCGTAAACACGTAATTGGGTCTGCTGTTCAACAACGGATATAAAATAAAATATAACTGCCCCTGGATACATTCTTTGATTAGGAACACACTTGCTCCTATTAATGTGACTTGATAGCGTTTACATGACAAATTAAGGAGTTATCTGTGATGTAATGCCATAACCTAGGCGTACTTACATACCATGGCCACAACATTCTACATATCTTATCTTTAGGAGGAGCTTTCGTTTGTACGGTGACAGAGATTTAGATAAGATGATATTCTGATTGCCTTTTTCATATCAACTTACTGTCGATTCGGATAGTAAAGTTGAAGTTAGTTCGGACCCTGATGAAAATGGTATTTTGTTTGAAAAATGAGTCAAACAAATTAATTTGTAATTTGTAATTACTTTAAAATATTAGCATGAATAAATATTGGAAATTTGTACCAAGTGTTCACCTGTTTGTAAAAATGTGAAATATTGTAGATTTCGATTTTCTACGTTGAGTTCTAAAATCATCAGACAGGATAAGAAATGGGGGAGAGAAAAAAATTAATGCTAACAAATTTCCTAATGATAAATTATTATGTATTAGATTAATAATTTATTACTTTTTAAAATAAATCAATTAAATCTTGCCTTCTTTTTTTAATTATTTGATTTAGCAAACTAAGAAACTATTTAATTGATTTAATACAAATTTCAGGTTTTGAAAATTACTTAGTTTAACACGATGTAAATTTTCTATGCATTTATAGTTTTATTATTATTTTTTTAAAAAAAATATTAAATTTAATATTGAAAAACATATACAGTGGTTGAAATCTACTTTTCTGCGTGTAAGCAATTTTTATAAACGTATATTCAATTTAATGTTTTTAATTAATTTAAAAAAAAGAAAATAAATATTTGTTTGAAATGATTTAAATTAAATGTGTAGAAATCTTTTACCAAAGGAATCTCCAAAACCATTTTAAATAAAAATAAAAATGCAAAACAATTTTTTAATTAAAATTAAAATTTTTCATTAGCTTCAGTAACGAAGAAAATCTCTTAAATATTTTTATGCTGTTCTTTTATCGTATATAATATTTCAAATATTTTATCTACTACCAAAAAGGATTTTATAAGTATCATTAACTCTTTCCCTCAAGTAGAAAAAAAAATCAGAACAGGGGTTTCCAACTTACAAGAGGCCGGGGGCCACAATTAAAAACACAAATCATGGATAAAGGAGGAGTTTTGGGTGTAGGGCTAGTCCCTCTACCCCGTAAAACATCCCTGACTACAGAAACCAAAAGCATATCGCGCCAAATTCTCTTGGCGGAAGCAATGACTTGAGAAATTCCAAATGACAGTTATCTAACCTGGAATGAGGAAATCACGCCTATGAAGTGTCGAAGGGAAAGCCATTTGGAGCCTTCGATGCGGAAGAAGTCATTGGTGAAACCTAAACACAAGTTACGAATTGGTGCTTGGAATGTAAGAACTATGTACCAATGTGGAAAAAGTAGACAGGTATCAATGGAAATGGATAGATACCAATTGGATATCTTGGGAATATCAGAACTTAGATGGACAGGTTTTGGCAAGATTAAAACTGGAAGTGAACAAATCATTTTGTACTCAGGAGCTGAAGAAAAGCACGAAAGAGGCGTGGCGCTAATCATTAATAAAGAAACAGCGAAGAGTCTTTTGGAATGGGAACCAATCAGTGAAAGAATTTTAAGAGCACGATTTTATTCAAAATATATTAAACTATCAATTATTCAAGTGTATGCACCAACGAATGATGCTGATGAGGAGGAAAAGGAGACATTTTATGATCAACTACAATGTGTTTTAAATCGAGTTCCAAAACATGACATGATAATTCTTATGGGAGACCTTAATGCTAAGGTTGGAAAACGGATTAGTGATGATGAAACCTCCATGGGAAACGAATCACCGGGTGAGAGGAACGAAAATGGAGAACTGTTTGTTTCCCTGTGCGAACTAAATAGTTTAAACATAGGTGGGAGTAGATTCAAGCATAGAGAGATACATAAATGTACATGGACCTCACCAGACGGAAGAACAAAGAATCAAATAGATCATATTGCAATTAATAACAAGTTCAGGAGCTCACTAAGAGACGTAAGAGCGATGAGAGGTGCCGACGTTGGATCAGATCACTACTTGATTCTTGCAATATTAAAACTAAAATTAAGAAAATCACCAAAGAAGACGGGACATAAAAGAATAAGCTATGACATTGCTAAGTTAAAAGCCAAAGAGTGCAGACAAGAATTTTCAATCGAGTTGAAAAACAGATTTGAGCTGTTAAAGGAAGAAGAAAATCATGGCAACACTAAGCAATCAGAAAATGAGGTAAAAGAAAAAGTTGAAGAGACTTGGGAACATATCAAAAACATTTATTGCGACGTAGCAGAAAAAGTGTTGGGTGAAAAGAAAGGAAAGAAAAGCAAAGAATGGATTACGGGTGAAACATTAATACTAATTGAAAGCAGAAGGAAAAAGAAAATACAGATGGAAACTACAAAGTCTGAAAGATTATTTAATCGGTATAGACAGCAGTATAGTCAAATTGATAGAGAAGTAAAAAAGTCAGCCAGAAAAGACAAAAGGAAATATTTCACAGACCTTGCCAATGAGGCTCAAGATGCAGCGCAAAAAGGACAAATAAGTACTTTCTATCAGAAAGTGAAACAAATAAAAGGAAATAAACGAAATTCGCAATGTGCAGTACGAGACAAAAACAATAAGTTACTTACTACGGATAAGAGGATCGAAGAAAGATGGAGAGAATATTTTGAAGATACGCTTAACGCACACCATGTTGAAAATTCTGAGCAACTCCCAAATGTTACATTAAATGTAGCATCTACTGTAGATTTTTCTTTGGAAGATATCTCGCTGGATGAGGTACAGAGTGCCCTGAGGGCCACAAAACCAAAGAAGGCTGCAGGGAGAGACGGAATCGTGGCAGAGATGCTTAAGGCAGATTTTGAAACCGCTACAAGACAGTTGCAAAAGCTCTTCAATGAAATCTGGAGAAATGAAAGAATACCAGAACAATGGAAAGAAGCAGTAATAGTGAAAATTCCCAAGAAAGGCGATCTAACAAAATGCGAAAATTGGAGGGGCATTAGCCTACTTTCCATACCGGGAAAAATATTTGGAAGAATAGTTTTGAATAGACTAAAACATGAAATTTATGGAATTTTAAGAGAAGAACAGGCAGGTTTCCGCAGTGGAAGTGGAACAATGCAGCAAATCTTCACACTTAGAAATATCATTGAGCAAAGCTTAGAATTTAACACCTCTTTATATTTAAACTTTATTGATTTCAGTAAAGCCTTTGATTCAGTTAAGAGAGAGAAATTATGGGAAATTTTATCACTTTATAATATACCAGAAAAATATATTAACATAATCAAAGATATGTATGATAACAGCAAAGCATGTATAGAAGTAAATGGAGAATTAACTGAATTCTTTTTAGTAAAAACTGGCGTGAGACAGGGATGTGTTTTATCGGGATTTTTATTTATACTGGTGATAGACTGGATTATGCGAAACAGCTTGAAAGATGAAAAAAGAGGAATAAGGTGGAATTTCACAACTACTTTAGAAGACCTTGATTTTGCTGATGACATCGTACTTATTTCATCCAAATGTACAGACCTTCAACTTAAAACAGACAAATTCAACAAATATTCAAATAGTGTAGGTTTATTCATGAACAAGAAGAAAACTAAAGTAATGAGAATAAATCAAAAGAAAAATGACAAAATTAAAATCGAAAATCACGAAATAGATGACATAGAGTCATTTAGCTATTTAGGTTCTATTGTAGATAAAAAAGGTGGAAGTAGCGAAGATATTAGACAGAGAATAATCAAAGCAAGAACATGTTTTAAGGGATTACATAAATTTTTGGAGAGAGTCAAATATTGAAATAAAGACAAAAATAGTTGTTTACAAAGCTATTGTTAGAGCAGTACTATTATATGGCGCAGAAACCTGGAAACAGACTTAGATCGAAATGCAAAAATTAGAAACCTTTCAAAACAAATGTTTAAGATTTATTTTTAAAATTTTCTGTCCTTACAAAGTATCAAATCAAAATCTATTAAGGAAAGCTAAAATAAAAACAATCGAAGATGAAATTAAAAAACGAAGATGGAGCTGGCTCGGACATATCCTTAGAATGCCCAAAGGAAAAATTTCATCTGTTGCACTTACATGGGCCCCTGATGGTAAAAGAACAAGAGGAAGACCCAGACTTACCATCCAGCGCATGTTTTGGGGCGAATTAAAAGAATGTAGAATATCTGGCTGGGAGGAAGCAAGATCTATTGCTAAAGACAGGAGGCGTTGGAGGGATATGCTGGAGGCCTTAAGTGCCCAAGGCACGTAGAGGATAAGTAAGTAAGTAATAGTTTTATTATTACTTTTTAAAAAAAATATTAAATTTAATATTGAAAAACATATACAGTGGTTAAAATCTACTTTTCTGCGTGTAAGCAATTTTTATAAACGTATATTCAATTTAATATTTTTAATTAATTTAAAAAAAAGAAAAACAATATTTGTTTGAAATGATTTAAATTAAATGTGTAGAAATCTTAACCAAAGGGATCTCCAAAACCATTTTAAATAATAAATAAAAATGCAAAACAATTTTTTAATTAAAATTAAAATTTTTCATTAGCTTCAGTAACGAAGAAAAATCTCTTAAATATTTTTAGGCTGTTCTTTTATCGTATATAATATTTCAAATATTTTATTTACTACCAAAAAGGATTTTATAAGTATCATTAACTCTTTCCCTCAAGTAGAAAAAAAGATCCAGTTTCTGTCAAACTAAAACTATTGAATCTATAAATGTTTTTCCAATTTGTTACTGTGTGTTTGTGAAGATGTGAATTGGAGAAATAAAAAAATTTGGCTAAAAATATACCTTTCCTCTGCGAATATTAAAAAAATACTCCCCATAACTATTTTCCAGTTATAAAAAGAACGACGTAATGTGTCTTAAATATTTAAAAAAAAATGCCTCCACTAAAATTGCTATGCTATAGAACAGGGGTTTCCAACTTACAAGAGGCCGGGGGCCACAATTAAAAACACAAATCAAATGGCGGGCCGCAACTTTATCAAAATTTTATGTAGGACTATGTTTGAAGGAACATTAGATATTACTGTCAGATTTTTATCAAGTTGTACAAAACAAAAGTATTGAATTACAAATTAAAATAAGAAGTATATTTTTAAAAATATTTAATTGCATATCAAAAAATTCGGGCTACAATAACTTTAATGTGCACCCATGTATTAAACAATTAATGTGCACCAGATATCTAATTGTTAAGATATAAAACTTTAAAAAGGTTGGTATTAAAACTTACATAGTAGCACACAAAATGTTCAATGACAAAATTGAGGTTTGTTTGCTGTAACCACCAGAGAATAGATATTTACATTTTAAATTTAAAATTTACAAATGTGTGTGTAAATAATTTCGTCCAATATGAGTGGTTTCAAAAAGTTAAATCGGAGAATTTGTTCGAGAAAATTTCTGATACACCATGCTAAATTATATTCACAAAATAGAAAAGAAATGAAATGAAAAGGAGCAACATACACGATTATTTTTGTATTTGAATAAATATTTTTTTGGATTCAAAACCTGAGAAATAGTTTTTTTTGCACCGTTGGTATGTTAAATTTCACAGAAACGAAGAAATTAGGTTTTTATTAACGAGAAAAGTATTTTAAACCCATAAAGATTTTTTACGAAAATTGTCCGCAAACAAATTACAACTAATATATTTTAGTTCGAGGGCCGCAAAAAAAGGCTTTGCGGGCCGGATGCGGCCCCCGGGCAGCCAGTTGGAAACCACTGCTGTAGAAGTTAAAGAGATTCATTGTGTGGACTATAATGGCGGATAAAAAGTTACTTGGCATTTCAGAACAGGAGCGGAGTAGGAAGGAGATGTGGGAAAAAGGACTCCCCTCCAATGAAATATCGACTCACCCAACTGTTCAAGCGAGCTTGACTGGGCGTCTTTGAGGAATCAGAGAAACCTGCCGAGCTATCCGATCATTCCTGTTGTCTCTGATTGAAATGGGAACGTGGGGTCTCCTATAATCGCAGGTGTGATTTAGCTTGTGTTGTTGTTGGTTATCAACTATATTTCCATAACAAATACGTATGTATTAAAATTTAGCTCTGATCAGATATAATTCTGAATTCTATTTATATTTCAAGAACTGGATTCAAGGATTTATTGTTTCCATGCCGCAAGTACTATGTGTTGATACTTGATAAAAGAGACAAGTTTTCCACAACATAACAATTTGTCAGTTGTGGAAAAATACATCATCCTACATAATGGACTCGTCGTGTTGCTTGTATTTTAACTATGATCTTGACTATTGTGTAAAAAATGCGCTTCATAATATTTACTATTATTTATCTACATAAATTTTCATCAAATCTTTTTACTATCGATCTACTGTAGTCTTGTTCAGATTTATTCTGCGCAACTTTTTAACTAACAAGTAGTTAGGCTTAACGTTTTAAATAAAAATAATTATTTGTGTGCATGGAGCAATCTTTGTGAACAATTTTGAATGTCAATCATAGAATGTTTACGTTGACGAACATTTTATGCAACCTAATTACCGTAGCCGTACGGAAACCTGATCTACTGGTACTAGTGTGATCTACTAGTACGGAAATAAAGATTGCTCTCGTAAATTGTGACCTAATATTCTATGCTACATTGAAATAAAACTCGGATGAAGACAATAAAAACTAATTGTGAACTGTTCTAAAATGAAGGCTGAAATAATGTACTCGACATTGTGGATGCTGGTGTTATTATGCCTATCCGTTGCTACAATAGGTAAGCTATTGATGATCTCTTTGTTTATATTTAGAATTGTTTTTAGACCTTTGTTGTTTACATTTTTTAAGATTTATTACTTATCTTAAGTATTATGTATGAATGATTTTTAAACTCTTATTATTTATTACTTATTTTAATATTGTGTATTATTATAATTGTGCATTTTAATAATTGTGTATTATCCCAGCCAACTGATATTTTATGTATAATCATACATAGCTCTATATATTTTTTCGTTTTTGTTAATTCACATTAAGTATTGAAATCAAAAAAAGGTTAAAGTGAATTAATATAAAAGAAAGACATTTTAATTTAATTTTTGAATTATAAAATATTTTACTATTTATTTATTTATTATTATCAGTTTGTAAATTAACTCTTTTATACCCTTCTCTTCTAATATATTATGATAGATTGTTAAATTCGTTTTTTTTCATTATTTGTTTGATTGCAGTAAAGAATTTATTTATTATGCTAGTTGTGACAATGCTAAAATTTAATATATAATACCATAATCATTGTTTCCATAGCTTTAATTTTTTTGTCATGTAAAGCATTTAAATGCAAAAATAATGAAAATAAAATAGAATGAAATGTAAATTTAATTTATAAAATTTCTTCTATTAATTTAGTTATTAATTATTATTAGTTAGTAAAATTAACTCTTCTGTTCCCATGTCCCCCATTATATTACAATTCATAATAGTTATGATTAATAGTATGTGATTAATAATATTATGATTAATAATAAGTTTAGCAATCATTCATAATTTATGAATGATTGCTAAACTTTCTTGTTAAACTGTAATAATGGAGCAGGAGCGGTTTTATTCTTATGCTAGTTGAGCCAATGCTGAAATATTGCCATGAGCATTATTTAAAGAGGTATAAATTTTTATTATGCGAAGCGTTGAAATCCGAAAAAAAAAATAATTAGAAAAAAAAATGGAAAGAAATGTAAATTTAATTTATATAATTTTTTCTATAAATTTTTTGATAATTATTAATTTGTAAAACTATTTTGCTCTCATGTAATTACTAGTGGACACTTAAAATATTGTAATATATTAATATATTTCACTACCGTATAGAATGCAAATTTAATTTACATAATTTTTTCTATATATTTGTTGATTATTATTAGTTTGTAAAACTATTTTGCTCTCATGTAATTACTAGTGGATACTTAACATATTGTAATAGGACATTGTGATATTAATATATTGTACTCTGTAAGTGTTACATTGCAATTTTGAAATAGATGAGTTAAAATTCAAGCTTCAGAAAAATATTTTTTAAGAATTGCTACTCATTACTAAGGAATGCCCATTCCAAACATATTAATCCGACCTTGATAAATATACTATTTTGTAAATTTATTACTTATGCATTAATGCAGTTTAAATAATTGATATTTACTTGTTTAAAAATGATAATCAAGTGCAGCTATAATTATAAAAGATAAAAAATTAATAAAGGTATATAAATCAATAATTAATGAAATTACATAATTATGTCAATCACAATATTATTATATTTCTGAGTTATTTCATATTACCTGTTTGTTAATTGTCTGCTTTTATAGGTTTTTCTCTAATATTTTAATTTTATACAATCATCAGACTCATTCTAGTTAGTGTAAGTTTTTATTAAATTTGTCGACTCCTTAATTAGGGATAGCAGATGTTTAAATAGTTTCTAAGAAAAACTTTTATTATTTGATTTTAAAATTTAGGTAACTAAACTACTTAGATAACTTAGATCATTTAGCTTATTCATTGTTTTATTCTTTACTTCATATACTAATTAAAAATCATACTTTTTTTTATTATTTATGTCAGGTTAATTCGCACAGCTTAAAACAGTATTGGAAGATTTTATAATGTTACAGTAACATCTCTAATACCTCTAACTGACTAAATTTGCTAGTCTGTTAGACAAATGTTAAATTATCTAGGGTAAAAAGATATATAACTTGGACAAATTGTTGTACATTTATATAAACCTACTTTATTTCTTACTAATTATTTTGTAAGATGCAAAACATTTAATTTTGGACTTAGCTCTAACAGATCCTAACTTAAAATATATTTCTTCATTTGATAGTCAAATAAACTATGCGGGAAACTCGAGGTCATATTTCTTTATTTCAACTAATTCTCAGAAATAATACTAATTAGTATTACAGTTTTCCTTTTTTTTTTTTAATCAACCTGCATTATGGCTATATTAGTTCAAACTGAAAACATTGCATTTAACATTCTGAGAGATGTAAATAAACTGTATAATTTTAAATCCTAATTTATTAATAAACAATGAATTGTTTAATAAGAGTCTGAATAGGTAGTTTTGACTTTAATTTTTTTTAAAAAAAGTCTTTAACATTGTATTTAAATCTACAGACTTGTTGTTTTTTAACCTGATTCAATAAATTTTAATTAATGCCACAAATAGCAAATACTAACTACGTAGGAAAGGCATTTTAAATTCATAATAGTGATTTGATATTAAAAAGACAGAAAACATTCTATCAGAAATATGTTACTTAACTACCTTTTCTATTGTTGTTGAACTTTTAAATTTTTTTAATATCGTTTAATAAACATGTGATATTGTTTTTTTTTTTTAATTCTTTATACAACCAGTATTTAATATCTATGTTTTTAATGTCAAATCAGTTATTTTAGATTGCCTCTTATATTGACTAAATAACTCTGTTGCAGAATTTTATATTTTATTATAACAAAGGCACTTTGTTTATAAAAAATCCTACACTTATAAAATAAAACTGTATGAAAACTTTTTTATTGTATAAATTAGGTCTAAAGTTTAAAGGAAGTAATATTTTTGACTTATAAATTAGTATAATTATTTCTTTTTTATAAATCAATTTTCTTTATTTTTTTAAGTTTTGAAAATCGAAGAAGAAAATTATGAATTTACAAATGTTTGTTGTACTCATTTGCAGAAATGCAAGCATTCACACAAGAAAAATGCCAGTAGAACTTTTAAAATAGAAGTGAATGAAAATAATTAAAATTATGCTATTAAGATATACATAGATAACGTTTGTTATCAATATTAATAGCATATATATAGAACCTTTTCTTTCTTTCTGTATCTTTGATTTCTTTTATCTTGTAAACTTTTCTATTCCCTGCTGTTGTTTTCCAGAAGAAAAAAAAATTCTACAGATTACTGAACAAGAAATTATCTAATGACTTCTATTTTAGAAACTTTATGGTTAGATAGTTTTATTTTCAAATAAAAAAAATTTCTTTCTTTGTGCAATTTTTTTAATGCTTAATTTTTTTTTCATACTTAGAGATTATTTCCATTGATTTAAATGAAAATGTATAAAATCATAGACGATAATCATTTTTATATATTAAAAAACATTCATAAAATTTTAAAGAAGAATAAAAAAGTGTTTAGGCGTTTAAATTTTTTTCTTCTCTCATCTATTACCTTGCCTTGTTCCCCATGCAGGTTAAGAACGCTGAAACGAAGCTATTTAAGAAAGGTAAAGTGTACCAGGTAGTCCAGGGTTGACAATTGCTTTCGAAAAATCGATCGAAAGAACTACATAATTGTCGAGTCTAAAAATAAATATTTAAACTCTCGATTCGAATTTCGCGTGTATATAAAAAAGTATCTGGATGTAAAAAAAAAAGGAAAAAAAACAAAAAAAGGAAATTCATAGTAATAACTGCTGTGAAAAGAATCATTATTCCAAACGGACCTAGTACGGAATCGGCACTAATCGAATGCGTCAAGAAACGATGATTCAAATTCGTGATTTCGAGTTTTGTGTGTTGTTTTAATATCGAAATTTTTAAATACCGCTCAAAAATCAGTAGCAATAGCTGCCGAAAAAATGATCCAAATACCACTTAGATTTACGATGGTATCTGCGCGAATCAAACGCATCATAAAGTGATTACTCGATGGATTCGTATTGCACTTATTGTAATAAAATAGAATAAAAAATATCGTATTTTATTTACTTTGATAAAGAGAGAAAATTTTCCGCATTGATTGTGTATATAATTCTTTTGTTACGAAGCTAAACCCCCTACTCGCTTATTGCGTCATACTATTGTTCGACGATCAAATAGAAAAAAAAATATTAATCTTATCACGTGGTATTTAATTAAAAAGTCTAAAAAGTACGTAAGTTTAAAAAATTTAATATCGTAAATAAATTTGTTTTTGACGCCTCAATTGAGTTATGCTAGTCCATTTCAGAATTTTCTTTGATTCTAGTGCTCTTGCATTTTGCTCTTGCAAATCTAGATGTAAATAATAAAAATAAAAATAAAAAAATTGGCGGGTCAATAGAATTAACGATAGGTAAGAGTATTTTGTGAGAGTTTCGAAATTTCAATTTTTGAATTGCAAGAACTTCATCAATGCATAAAATTTATAGTCGCGTAAATTTGCGAATCAACGATCTTCAATTTCGCGGACTTCCGCGAAATAGAGGAAAAATTATATGCAGGTTAATCTAATAGATCTATAAGTTGCTGACTTCCCTTCAAGGTTTTCTTTATGAAGGTTACAGAGCATCACGAGCACTTCTTTTCCCTCCGTTACTATTAAACAGCAATCGCTTGAAAGCAGTTAAACCTTTTTTACGTCACTTTAAAAAATATAATTTTGTAATTTTGCAAAATACAAAATTTGAATAGAATTGATCAAATGAGAAAATCGAATTTTTAAAAGAAGACTTTTTTTTGAAATTCGATTTCTTGGCAACTATTCAACCGATGTCACTTAAATTTTATATTTTTTCATGTAAAATTATATTTTTTTAAAATTATGTAAAAATGGTAAATATATGCAATTTTTTTTAATTGCATGGAAGTAAGTATATGTGGATAAATGAATTTTATAATTGCGTGTGAAAAAAATTTCAATTCGCTTTTAAACTTATCGAGATATGGCGAAATACCCAAGAAATAAAATTAACATTAAAGCATCCAAACTTCGGAGCT